GCGGTCCGTGAGTTCGAGCCCCGCGTCAGGCTCTGGGCTGATGGCTCGGAGCCTGGAGCCTGTTTCCGATTCTGTGTCTCCCTCTCTCTCTGCCCCTCCCCCATTCATGCTCTGTCTCTCTCTGTCCCAAAAATAAATAAAAAACGTTGAAAAAAAAAATTAAAAAAAAAAAAAAAGTCAATTTAATTGTCCCTTCCAAGAATCCATAGCCTTGCCACTTCATGTATTCATGGCTTTTGTATTCCATGACATTCTTGCCAGTGTTGCAATCTCTTCATAGGTCTGTAAATCATGAATTCCCACCAGTGAACTCATCAGAGGTAAAGAGTCACTTTTAAGACTTCATTATAATAAACACTGTTTATTACTTGTTTCAGCATTTACAGTATTTACATATTGCACAATATCTGGATACTATCTTACATTTATTGTACAAAGGACAAATGAAATGAGCCTGGGTATGTTCACAGATTTACACTCCACTGTCTCCAAAACGTGACACGTTGTTTTGTGGGTTTTCATGCAATTCCAAATAATACTCTGGGAATTTAATTGTAAAAGTAATAAAAATATTAAATCATACCATATGCTGTATGAAAATATAGTTTCGGATTCTGTTTATGTTTCTAAAGAAATATTCTTTGAGATTTCACCTAATTAGGAAAAGGAAATCGCTTTCTCTGTCACTTTGTAGCCCTGCTCATCAAGCGTGGATCCTTCCTTTTCTCCAAAATCACAAGTGGCCAGTATTAACGTCAGGTACGCTGATTTGCTGAATACATATCTGCCAACAGTGTCGACATACACAACTCAAGTTAAAGGAATTATGGAAGAGTCTGTCTGCAAAAATAAATCTCTTGTTCACAAGGGGATGTGTTCGTGAAGGTAGTAGGTTCTGTCCCCTGTTGGTTCCCAAGGCACTTCTCATGGTTCACGGGCTGCCGTCCCTCTGCCCTCTGTTCACGGCTGAAAAACATGGTTTCAGATATAACCATCCACATTTAGCGCTTCTAGAAGACCTAGATGTTGAATTATGTAACATAATGTGTTTATAAACACAAGGGATCAAGGGCTGCATGTATGTATATTTCGCTGTTCCAAAAAGCATAGTCCATTTATTGTGGAAAATAACCGGGTCCTACAGTTGTTACATGCTCACTGTGCTAAGCGGTGAAAACCTCCCTAAATATGACCAAACGCTTGTTAAAGTCTGAAGACAGTCCTTACTCCTGATGTGTGTGTTGTCAAGTCCTCGGTAACTGGGGCCACCACTCCGATTGACAGTTGGTGGCAGTCCTGAGACACGGTCGATTGGCCTTCACACTTCCATCTTCATGAGCATTTGCAAAACCGATAACCAAGAATAAACTCTTTATTCTAGCACTCCATGCAGTATACCCGAACCACTGGTGTATCATTCGTTAATTTAAAAAATAATGGTAAGCTTCAGGGTTACTGAAAGTAGGCTGCATTTTGTAGACTGAACTAGGTCCTTGTTGCTCAGAACTACATTTCCTTGGAAACACTCCAGAGCTCAGGGTTCTAGCTTCCCTGAGCTGCGGCACCAGGTGATGAAGTGTGTGTGGGAGGGTCTCGAGTGGGTCTCTGACTATGAGGGAGAGTGGCTGGGAGCCTGTGGTTTCCCTTTGGCTGGAGGGGATCAGTTAGTGAGCTTCAGAAAGAAGGAGGCAAGGGGGTTTGTGCTCAGCTCACAAACGTGAAGAGTCCCTGTGCTCGGACCCCATATACACTGGCTGCTTCCAGGCTCAGCCTCGGAGAAGACAAGGCTTCGGTCTGGAGCCGGACGAGGAACCCTGTTCTGCAGCCGTGTCCGTCCCGTGCAGCTGCCAGGGCAGCAGAAGACAGGTGTTTGAGCCCTGCTTCCTCCACACCAGAGCAGCTGTGTTGACCAGGAGTGTGTGTCCTGCGAGTGCCCTCCTGTGTCTCACTGATGTCCTCACCCAACCCGCAGGGCCCTGCCTGTCTACGTTGTTGTGACCAACGTTGTTCTTGCAGTTTAAAACTTCTGGAATTAGCAGAAATTAATCTTTAAAAAATATTAGGAAATTATTATAGTTAGCAGAAATGTCTGTGTTTTTCCAACTTTACCCATTTCTTGACCAAAATGAACACAGTTACAGCCGTGACAAGTGTGACAGTGGGCACAGTGGCCTTTGGGCATCACACCTGTGGGCACACACCATCCTCGTCTCCCTTGTCCCACCATCCAGCCGGACCCTGACTCGGTGGGTCAGGGTGGGGAAGTGCACCAACTATCAGCACCTTTCCCGAGACCACATCGCCTCCCGCCAGGACTCCCTCCCTTTTCGGTGTTTCCATGAGTATCCAAAGCCCTGACGTGCCCATCCCGGGACTGATGCAGGGGTCGAACCACGCTCGGTTCTAGTTCCACACCCACGTCATTCCTTAGGTCGCGACAGTCATTCTTGATCTAGTAAGGACACCCTGCTGCCCCTCTAGGAGCAACCAACTGTGGGGGGGGGGGCACAGTTAATGGGTGTAGAGACCGGGAGCATGTTCCTGATTAGATGGCCACAGGGCATTTGGTCTCCCTGCCCCTAAGTGAATGGAAGTTGTTTTCCAAGGACGTGCCTGGCTCATCTCTGCAAACACTGGTGGTCTCACTATGAAGCAAGGCCTAATACGAACAACAACATCCTCTTCCCGAGCATATCGCCTGCAGAGACAGGAGAGTCCATCCACTGCTTTAAAAAAGAAGCCTCTTCTGTGTGCCTTGTAGGCAGTGGAAGAAACCAGATAGGACTCAGATGGAAGTGAAGGTGAGGTCAAGTTAGGGCACGACATTTCTCAGCTCTGGCATTCAAAACCATGCTTTTCCTTCTCCCCAAGTGCAGAGTGCCACACAAGTGTCAGTGAACCGGCACAAAACGTGGCCTCGTAATCCCCCGCTCAACCCCATGCTCCACCCAACCCCCATGTTGCTCCTCTCGTTACCGTGGGCGTTTGGCGGGGACAACGTGGTGCTGGGGATGGGGCTGACTGTGCCTGCCTGGCCAGTCCCGGCTCCCAGGTTTGGCTCAGCCACTCCGCACTGTCTGGACGTTAACTTATCACCACCGGCTTTTCCACAGCGAGCGTCAGGACTTCTCTCCCCTCACACGAGACAAATGAGGGTAACCCTGGACAAACACAGCATCCTACCCCCTTTTTATTAATGCTTCTGGACAGCAGATAAATTGTCTGGGAACAGCCATGTGAGGACCAGAAGCATGTCTGGTGCGGGTAGACTTGGCTTCTGAAATGCCCAGCACCCACAAGACGCACGGTGAATGTAAGATTCTGCGACTGAAACCCACGGTATTTGCATCAGGAAAATAAGCCCTTTCAGCCATCTGTGTGGCTGACCGCTGGTGTTACAGGTCGCACATCAGCCCTCAAGAGGCCAAGGTAAAAAAATTTAGTTCATAAGCTCTTGATGTGCATTTATATTTTTACCGTTGGAGCCTATGAAAGAAACATATGAAGAGAATAGTTATTCTTGGCTATTCCTTATAAGCTAACTGGCATGATGATAGACTCCAACTCAAACATTTGCCAGATAATGTCTATAAAAGTTGCATGGATATGGTTAGTCATACACTCATTTATGAGTGTAAGTGAATGAGTGAAAGCCGAAAAGTGAACAGGCGTGATTTTAGACGTGCCTCCTGTTTTATGCACTAACGTGCTGAAACTAGTCCACTAATGGGTTTTGTTTCCAGTTAGCACTCTGCCAACGGAGCCCTCACGGGAAAAATTCACAACAGCTGCCTGGGGTACTGTGTGCAGGTGGCCGGGGTACCTTACACTGATGGCCGTTATTTGGAGATATTCTGAGTGTCACTGGACTCAAAGTAAGGCTACTTAGGCCAAAGGTTGGGGGGGGGGTGTTTCTAAACACCCATGAATTTCTCACATCGCAAACCGGACTCCGGTCCTTGGTGTGTGTGCCAGTGACTCTGTGGTCGGCTTACCTTATCCCTCCAAGCACATAGGACTGACAGCCAGCCGGGTAAGAAGCCTGGCACATCTTTTATAGTCTGTAGTGAAAATAAATCACAGACCCTTGTCAGTTACGTCAACAACCCTTACAGCATTTTTTTTTAACAAGAATATCCGCTGCTAAAGCCATTTCTTTAAATATTTTGAATTCCCTGGAAGTGATACGGAGACTGTCATGTGAAATCATGGGCTCTAAGTCATTGATTTCATCTTTTATGGCATTTCAGGGGCTTTAGCATCACAGGGCAGGAGATGAATGGAACGGGAAGCCTGTGGGAGGCCAGATGCAGAGTCTTCTGCCCATTTTCTTCCCGCGGTGGCTCCCAAGCTCCTCAAAATGGCTTTGGTTTTGTGCAGCTTCCTTCCAGGGCATGTGCAGGCTGGGTCCCCACCTGGGTTCATCATACACAAAACCCTCTTACTTAAAGACAGTGGGTCAAAACTCAAGTAACAGAGCAGAAAGACCTGGGCTGGATAACAGAAGGAAGCAGTGAGCTAATTTCTGAGTACAGGCTGATTTTCCATAATATCTCACTTAATTTCCTATTAAATTATTCCATAGGTGCTACCTCAGAAGGACCAAGTGAGGTTTAGTGACCATGGCCATAAAGGGCTTTCCTCAGCTTGAAGTTATGTGGAAAAGCTACAGCGGTTTATAAATTACTTCTCAAGAGTCTCAAAATCCTACTTAGAAATGGAGGAATTCATACTCTTAACTGAAATTCTGATAAATAAATAAGTTGACAACAATGAATTTACACAACGTGTTGGACAAGCGGTTAACCTACCCCTACAAATACGCTCTTAAATATTTAGAGGACGTGATAGTTTGTGCTCAAAGGGGGAAAAAAAGAAAGGCCTAACAGCTGGAGGCTGGGGCATCTGGGTTCCCGGCATTTGTTTCCTCTTCCCTCGCACACCAAGTCGTCTCCGGTGCAGTATTCCCAAAGACAGCACACGTGCACGCAGTGTTGTGTGCGCTCGAGGTAAGGGCTCCCGTTTGCAGCACATGTAGAGGCCATGAGGTTGACCACCACCCCCGCCTCCCACCAACCCACATGTTCTCCAACCCTAAAATAATCTGGGGGTCCTATGAGGGTGCAGTCTGGAGGAACTTCATGTTCTGCTCTTCCAAAGAGCCCCCGCCCCCTTGGGACCACACTTTGAGTAAGAAGGCTCTGGTTCCTTTCAGTCCTGACCTCCCAGGATTCGTTTCTCCAGCTCTGTGTGGGCAGAGAGAGGTGCAAGCCACATCGGCACAAGCAGCTGCTCGCGCAGTGCACGCGTCTGTGGGCTTCGCGCCTCCTGCCCCCGCCTCCCAGAGGAGCTGTGATGAACCCTGGCGGCCACCTCGCAGAACGGATGAGTTGCTCTGAGCCAAAGGAGGCAGTGGGTGTGGACACACACTGTGTCCTCAGGTCAAGCGGTGGCGTCTCTGTGTCAGGGCGCAAGCAACTGAAGCAGGTCGTCTGCTTGTGCGTCCATAAATGAAAGAAAGATCAGGAGTGACCGCCCCAGAGGCCATCTGCAAATTTAGAACCTGTGACCCTGTGATTTTAAGATGGGATTTAATATAAAAATATACACACATTTAAACAATAAAAACGAGAAGGTTTTCTGGTCCCTGGAATACTTAACTACTCTCAAACGGAAGGTGATGCCGTTTCAGAGGAAGGAACTGGGAAAAGAACACGTGCCAGCTGCAAATGGCCTGGACGATGGGTGGGCTGAGACAGAGCTGGAAAGAGAGTCAGAGCTGCGTGCCTACGTGCTGCTTGCCTCGGCTGAGCCCGTGAGGCCCCGGGCGCCACCCGCCGCCTCAACAGGGAGCCTCCCGCATCAGGTGATGCTCCTGGCCTTACTGGCCGCGTCACGCGTGCCTAGACGGGGACCTCCATGCTGGCAGCTCTGTTGTTGGGGCAAACTTTGCTGCCTAAGCAGAAAAAAACTTCCACTGCCTGTAAAGTGGCTTATGTGTTTACATTTTGTCTTTTGAAGGCAGGGCGGGAAAGTCTGGTCGGACAGTCTCCGAAAGCAGCCAGTAAGACACCTGATGTCTGCACACTTCCCTCCCGTGAGCCTTACATGCAATCAAGGTGCAGTCCCTGCAAACGAAGACGTCACTAGCTCCTAAGTCCCTTGTCATCACTCTATGTTTTGTGAGGAGCGCTAGCAGCCACTTTGGGAGAAACAGAATACATTTTGTTACAGCCGAATGATCAGAAAGCTATGGGAGCACTAGATTGAGGCGTGAACTCTGCATTTGTGGAGCAGAAGTTGGAAACAGCGATGAAGTCCTTCCTTAGATAACGAGGTTGCAATCCCTAACGGGAACAAGGAAGTCTCTGGTCAGGGTCGGGGGCCCCACACACATTCTTTATGCCCCAGGGCACAGAACTACACCCTAGTCATCTGAGCAACTCTTTCTTAGCGCTCGTTTGTCATACTGAGTAGACACAAACACAGACAGCATGCCAGAATTCATATACGAAACGAGAATGTGGATGGAAGAGCTCAGCCGGTTCCAAGAGGTGATTAATTCCAGCGAATGTAAATAATTTTCCATTTGGCACTAGCTGCTACAGAACGCAGCTACCTTCTTCCATGGTCTGCTCGCCCTAACTCCACAGTTAATAGGGGGAAATATATTCGCACACAGGACATTTAGAAGGAGGGGACTGTATAGACAGAAGGACATGAGAATCGTATCTACATGTGCTGGTTTTCCCAAAGCCGTCCGGATGCTGTCACTTACATGCAGGGACGGTGCAGTCTCTGGTGTTGTGGTACAGTCTGTGAAAGTGTTTGCTGCACTTTGGACTGAAATAAAGAGGACCTGGAACATGGAAGGAGAAGCATGTCATGAGGCTCGCAGGGCGCCAGGGATGGGGCACAGGGGAGAGGTGGGGACACTTACCTGTGAGATGTTTTAGGAACTTGTCCTTCATTCTCAGATCTCGAGGGACGATTTCTGTTTGAAGGGAAAGGAGGTAATTATTGCATCGCTTGAGAGAAGCATTTTTGTCCCGTGATCTAAGCGAAAGTTGAGGAAAGTTGCTGGAAAGCGCAGGTTACCCTGCACTAGATAAAGCCGATCGGAGCCCCCTTGATTGCTGTGTGAAGACTTGTAATCAGGGACAGGTTTTTCTCCAGATAAACTATTAACTGTTCACAAAGCTTCAATATTATTTGTCTGGTCTCTGCCCTGATGGAAAAGACAGTGACCGCAAAGTTACAGGGTGAAGAAATGTGTGTGGGTGGCGGTTAGTTTCCGGCAGCAAATCGCTTTAGACATTCTCATTTTGGAGAGCTTGGGAATCAAATCCCACGAGCTCTCAAAGTTCTAAAACGAAAACCCAGTCCTTCAAACAGCAACCAAAAACAATGTCATGAAACTTCTCTTTTTCTAGGTATCTATTTAGGAAAAGGACTCAATGCTTTCAAAACCACCTGTTGCCAAGGCTGATGTACATGCATGGAAATAGCCATTTATTCGGTTTATAAGATAAAAGGTAAAGTTCCGGGGGAAAGACAGCTGTCAGTTTTCACTGGGGGAACAGGCAGTGCCCCACTGACACTCTTTCTGATTCCAGGCTTGGTTTCTGCTTTTTCACTCGTCCGCTCTGGGTGGTAACTTTTGCTAGGAGGGCGTGTGGTTGCACTTTGTCTTCTCACAGATACTCCTGGTCGGGGGGGAACGTTCCCTGCGGACCCTGCCCACTTGGTCTGAACGTCAGCCTCTATCAAACTGACCTTATCACACTTGACCTAATTGTGTCATGAAAGCATTAAAAGCTCGCAAGCTTTCTTTGGAAATTTCCCACGGGGCAGGCACTCTGGGAAGGCTGTGCCTCTGGCGGGGGTGCGGGGGGGGGGCGCTCTGCAGCACTTCTGCCTCAGTTGAAAGCGCTCTGCTGAAAGTATTTCCATTTCCGAAGTGACACGTGACAGTTCTGTGCCAAGCTCCGACCTGGGCAACAGGTCCCGCGCCTGGAGCGGAGCGGAGCAGGGCTGTCGGTCACCCAAGTCCCGTTTGCTTCTCTTTATGAAAACACATGGTCTAGTTGTTTTCCCCCAAACAACAGAAATGGGTTTATCCTGTTAAAATACACGTTTTCTCCAGGACCGTATTTCCCAGCAAACACGACTCAGTGTCTCCGGAGACGCGGCGGACCCGCACACGTGCGGAGCCCACCCGGGGCTCCCGGGACCCCCCCAGACCCCGCCCCGGATCCCCCCGGGCCCCGCCCCGGACCCCCGGGCCCTCCGGGCCCCGCGCACACCCCGGGAGCGCACTCACCCACTCGCTGCTCCTCGGGGTCCAGCGCGGAGTCCGAGGCCTCCCTGCGGCCCGCGAGCTGCAGCCTCTTGGCCTCGCCCGCCTGGCCCTTCCGGAGCTCCTGCAGGATCTCCGCGATGAGCCGCAGCAGGGTCTGTCCGTCGGCCGCCTCCCGGGGCGCAGCGACCCCGGGCCCCGCCGCCCCCAGCACCAGCAGCAGCCCCAGGAGCAGGGGGCGTCCCGGCCCGCGCATCGTGCGCTCGCTCGGCCGCAGGGAGATCGGCGCTCTGCAGGGGCAGGGCGTGGGAGGCGGAGGCGGGAAAGAAAGTCGGCGGGGGTTGGGGGGGGGGGGGGCCGGCCGAGCCCGCGGCCCCGGCCCCCCCGGGACCCCGAGCGGATGGGAGCCCGCGGCGGCGGCTGGGACGCGGTGTCCCCGGGACCCGCGGAGGCCCCGGCGCGGAGATGCTGGGAGCTGAGATTCGGGGCGCCGCCCCCGCCCCCCGCCCCTGGTCCTGCCCCCACCCTCCCCAACTTTCGGGAGAAATGGCACCTCCGCTTGCACTTGGCTGCGGGAGACATCGGCGCAACTTTCTTAACCTCTGAGACCGTGGGGAGACCGGGGGGAGGGGTGGGGGAGACCCCGGAGGGCTCGGCCCGCAGGGAGCGAGGGGGACCCCGGGAGGGTTCGGCCCACGGGAGACGGGGGGACCCCGGGAAGGCCCGGCCCGCGGGGAGCGAGGGGTCCCCGGGAGGGCCCGGCCCACGGGAGACGGGAGGACCCCGGGAGGACCCCGGCCCGCGGGGAGTGAGGGGTGATCCTGGGAGGACTCGGCCCGTGGACTGGGGTCCTCCCGCCAGGGCAGCGCCGCGCCCTCCGGCGAGTGGGGGCCGCGCCCGAGTTCCCAGCGGCGCCTTTGTGTGGCGTCGCCCCCTCCTCCCGGCCGGACGTCCCCGAACCCCGACGAGGAGTCCCCGACAGGGACCCCCGCTCCAGCCGCCCGCAGGGTCGGGTTCGGGAAACCCCCGGCCCACACCTGCCGGCGCCGCCCGGGAGTCCACCTGCGCGTCGGAGCACGGCCGGATTACCTGTCCCCGCGTCTGTCCCCGCGACTGTCCCGGCGTCTGTCCCCGCGCCTGTCCCCGCGTCTGTCCCCGCGCCTGTCCCCGCGTCTGTCCCCGCGTCTGTCCCCGCGTGTGTCCCCGCGCCCCGCTACTCCATGCCCCGAGCAGACCTGGCGGGCGGAGCGCACAGACGCGCGGGGCGCAGACGCGGTGGCTCGGCCGCCCCGGGCGCTGGACCCGCCGCTTCTTATCCCCGCGCCGACGTCAGGCGGGTCCCCGAGGGCTCCGCGCGGGTCTTTAATTAGAAGCCGCTCGAGTGTTCGAACCCCCGTGCGGATCTTCGTCAGATACCCCCCTCCCTCCCGCCCCCCGGGCTCGGGGGGGGGGGGGGGGGGGGCCGCGGGCCGGGGGCCCCCCCCCCCCCGGCCCCTCTCCTCCCCTCTCCCTCCACCCTGCACTCCCTCCCCGCCTCTCCCCTCTCCCCCGCCCCTCCCTCGCCCGTCCCCCGCCCCTCGGCCCCCCTCCCTCCCCAGTCTGTTCCCCTCCGTTCCTGTCACTTGTCACAGGATGAGAAGAAACGCCTTTACCAGGAACTCGGCTCTGTTTTTGTCTAAATGTGGATCTTGGGCTTAAAACACGAGCTGTCTGATCGCCTCACATTTAATAAGTCGATTAGCGTCTGCCCTCTTTGGGGGCTCCACTCTCGGGACCCCGCAGGCCTGCGCCGTCCCAGGCGGGGCAGCCCCGGGGGCAAGGAACCTCGGGGTGCACCTGGCGGGACGCGCGGGGCCCCCTCCCCGCCTCGCACCTGCCGGGACCCTCCCTCGGGGGACCGCGCCGCGCGCCCCCTCCCTTGCGCACGCCCGCAGGAGCCCCCGGGGCACCGCCCCCCCCCCCCCCAGGCCAGGTCGTTCCGAAAGTTCGGGTTCTTTGGGGACAGGCAGGCGCTTTGGGGAGGCTTCAACAATGTAATATTTTTCTTGTAAAATGTATTATCAATCAATTGCGCGCTTTCCCATTTTATTGGCGCTTTCTGGGCAAGGGCTGGACGCCCTCCAAGTCGGCGATGCGACCGGGAAGGTGTTCTCTGCACGAACCCGAAGGCAAGGCGCGCAGAGATTAAGGGCCCCCACCACCCGCGGGGCCGCGCCCTGGGACGCTGCGCACAGATGCGCGGGGGGTGGGGGGGGGGAGGGGGGAGGGGCACCGGGGGCGGACCCCTGGCCGGCCTGGGGGGTCGCGGGGGCGGGCCCCCCAGAACTCTGCCTGCGTCCGGGTCTCCGGGCACGTCTCTCTGTCTCTCTGTGTCCATGTCTCTCTGTGTCTCTGCTCTCTCTGGCTCTCTGTCTCTGTCTCTCTGTCTCTGTGTCACTATCTCCCTGTCTCTGTCTGTCTCCGTGTGTCTCTGTCTCTATCTCTCCGTCTGTCTCTGTCTCTGTCTCCCGTCAGTAGTTCTGTTTCCTCCGGAACACAAGTGAGCCCCGGGTAAATAGAATAGACGCAGAAGATACTAAAATGTGATCATCTAAACCCCACCCCCCCCCACCCGCATCTCTTGGGGGGATGTGTTTATATTCTCTCTTTAAAAGGAAATAGGGTGTTGTTTTTTTGGCAAGCACTATGACTAAAATGTGAACGTTTCTTTTAAGATATACGAGAGAGAGAGAGAGAGAGAGAGAGAGAGAGAGAGAGGAGAGAGAGAGAGAGGAGAGAGAGAGAGAGAGAGAGAGAGAGAGAACTCATACCAAACAGTTCTTAGGCAGATAAAATGGGATTTTGTTTCCTTGTTGCCTTTCCCTTGGAGTGGGGGTGACTCTCTTGCAGGAGCGCCGCCTAGTGACAAAAATTCCCTCTGTGTGCACTCAGCACTGGCCCGGGATGCAGGGGCCCAGACCCGCCTAACAGCAGGAGCTCGTGAAGCCTCTGTTGTAAAATATTTTGGTGTAAAACTGCTTTTGGAAAAAAAAAAAATGCTATGGTAAAAAAAAAACCAAGAAATTAGCTCAGTCACATATTATTTTAAATTTATACAGCGTGTTTCCTTTTAAATACTATTTTACAAAATCAGATGAAATCGATGAAGAGAATTAAAAGGTACAAGTTCCTGTTATAAAATAAATAAGTCCTGGGGATGAAAGGGTACAGCACAGGAAATGCCGCCAATCATATTGTAATAATTTTATATTGTGATGGTGGCTACACTTATCAAGGTGAACATTTTCTAATGTATGTCATTGTTAAATCACTGTGTTGTGCACCTGAAACTAATATTACATGTCGACTACACTTCTAGATATAAAAAATAATTTTAAAATTAATTTTTAAAATTAAGATTTTTCTAAATAATTCCTGTTAGGATTATTTTCCCCTCCCCAACCGACCATCCAACCAAGGAGTCCTTGCTAGCAATTAATATTATCCTTTTTTCTTTGTGGTTTGCAATGGGACAAATGGATTTCCTGGATGACTCAATTCTACTGCCCAACTGTATGCACCAACACTTCAGCTCATCTCAGTAGATACTTACATGCATAAACCACAGCAGGAGAACTGGTGCCTGGTTGGTGTTTAGTTTCGTGAGATCTGGCAATTAAGAATCAGACAATCATGTTTTAATTCATTCATTTTTGCAAAGCTCTGTGCTGAAATGACTCCAGGAACCACTGATTTTGTATAAATCACTTCTACAGACTTTCTCAACTTAATAAAAAAGTGCACTGATTTGTAAGGTCTACTGAACTGTTCAATTTATGGTGTTGTCAGTAAGAACTCCTTGGAGTTCACTCACCAGAATTATGGGTATTATAGCCATTGTTAACACATTCTGATTGGCTAAATTAATTGTGCTGTTTAAGGCAAAATACATGTAAACTGATTTACACGAAAATGCTAAGCTGTGAGGTTCCTGGGTGGCTCAGTTGGTTGAGCTCAGGTTATGATCTCCTGGTTCCTGAGTTTGAGCCCCACTTCGGGCTCTCTGAGGTCAGCACAGAACCTGCTTCAGATCCTCTGTACCCCACCGCTGCCCCTCCCTCACTTGTGCACATCCACCTTCTCTCTCAACAATAAAGTAAAAACATCAAAATTACAAAAAAAAAAAAAAGAAGAAGAAGAAGAAGAAAATATGAAGTTGTATTTGAAAAATGGCTTAGTCTCTCTACTTCTTTCCTGTAAAATGAAGTGGTTGGACTGGATGGTCTCTGAAGTCTGAAGCTGTAAAATTCTATGATTGTTACCAAAAATAGTCTGAAAACAAAAAATTCAGTGTTCCTACAAAGAGTTAAAGACAATTCACTGAAATATTCACTATGAGTTTTATCATTTGCCTCTGTGCAAGAATAGGTGATATATTCATATTAAATAATTTAATTCCCTACTTCAGCAGGTGAACAACTTTCCATCATGAAGGAGCCAAAAGACAAGACAACAACGCTGTATTCTAAGCATCATTGGCAAAGTAACTCTTGCTACATTTGATTTAGTTTTGTTTCCTTTTTGACAAAAGTATGTTGGATCGTAGAAAGAAAACTAACAAAAGAGGGAAGAGTTGTGTTTAACCTACTTTTATTGTAGATCTATGTTGTGAGAGGGGCAAGTTACATTTTCAGTTTATAAACAGTAAAAAGCTCCAATGTTTCAACACAATGACTTTTCTTTCTTCCTGAAAAGGTATAAAATTTATTTGAGATGACCGTTAACTGCCTTCAAAACTGATAAAATAGATATATATTAACCACATGTTTTTAAATGAGCTATTACGTGAATTGAACTATTATGTTGATCATTTAACAGTCTAACTAAGATCTTATTAGATAGAAAAACAATTATCTTTAATAAAGGCTAACTTTATGTGCTATAAAGAAATGTAACTTAATGCTTAACTGTCATGTGTTCTATTATTGCTGCTATAGAATACGTTATTAGTGTGCTAGGAATGTGCTAGAAAGCATATGAAGCATTTTGGAAGACAAGATCTCTAACAGGACCTATCCTTCTGGTGCAAGTGTAACCAGTGTCATCTCTAGTCAGTTATGGTGTGTGCGTGCTCTCTAGCAATTTATTCTGGATGAATGGAATTCATCCCTTTACTAAATTCTTTCCCTCGTACCTAGAGGAAGCACCCCCCCCCTTTTCATTTTCCGATGCACGTTTTTGCGTCTGCAAAGCCACACTGCAGTGCAAGTCCACAAGAGATGAGCCAAAGGTCTTGTATGAAGGCTTGGGGTGCCCTATAACTTGACTGGCTTACTCTTGCTCACTTTTCTTGGCCCATGGCCAAGAGGAAGAGACTATTAGAGGGGAGGCTTTAAGGGAGCACGGCCTTGACTGTTCCTGGAGCTGGTTTAGTCACGAAACCCAGCTAGAGAAGAGGTGTTAAAGCTTAGTGACACTTACCTGCCATTTGAGGCTCCAATATCACACCTTCTGGTGGCAACAACAGGAGTACATTTAAATGTCCACACCCTACACCAGCATGGGAAAACAGAGCATCCTATTTGGTAATAGCCCATCTCAAATTCATGACCAAATGGCCTCTGGGAATATATGACCAAAATGGAGTCATATATGCTGAGGAACACACCAATGTACCCACTTCCATATATTTTTTCTCTGTGCATCTAATATCCTGATCAAAAGTGACATATGTAATGACTGGTGTCATGTAGGCACTCTCAAAGTGCCATAAAAGTGCCGTATTCCAAAGATATTCTCAAAGCAAGTCATAGTTGTTTGGGGGTGAGAAAACTACTCTATCAACCAATTCATACATTTTACTGGCTTCATGAAATAAAACTTAATTTCCCTTAAGTTAGTGGTGGGGAGGGGTCTATTTGTGCTGTCGCTCAGGCTCTGCCCTTTCTAAGGGCCTGGGGGTACCTATGGGTCCTCTGCAGCTGGCCTGGGGGGGAAGGTTATTTAAATTAAATTAAATTAAATTAAATTAAATTAAATTAAATTAAAATTATTTAAGGCCTGGAGGCCAAGGCTGGGGATGGCCCGTGTCACCCAGACCTGTGCTCCCCTGGTCAGCATCCAGCCAAGTGCCCCTCAGCAAGCCCGTTCTATC